GGCGACGGCGACGGCGACGGCGACGGCGACGGCGACGGCGACGGCGATGGCGATGGCGATGGCGACGACGACACGGATGATGATGATGATGATGATGATGACGACGACGATGACGACGACGACAAGGATGATGATGATGATGATGATGATGATGATGACGATGATGCAGTTTCACATACATATAACCCCAAGACACTCCGCGTATTGCATATTTACATACATTGACCCCTGACACCATCCCCAGGTAAATATGCAATACATGGAGTGTTTGGGACATATATGGGTCAGATTCGATGCCGGGAGCTCCTCTTTAGGTCTTATGATACTATTCATGCATGTCTTTTGAAACGTTTGCTTTCATGCTACCCAGTACGTCTCACTATGTTTCGACTCCATCGAAATGGTACATGTTTCGCAAAAAGGAAGTTTGTTCTTTGGCCCACCCCGAGCTAAAGCTCAAGGAGCGAACGCGCCCCAACACAACGCCCTTCAGGCACCTTCGGCAGGTTTGGTTCATCAACCGTCTCGTGTTCAACACGAGAAACCGTGAAAACAGGCCTTGCTCAAGAAGAAGTTCTACCCACACTTCAAGGAGACCATGTCCGCCGCCGTGAACATGTCGCCGGCCAACGTGGTGCCGCACGAGACCAACGTCTCGGAGGAGTTGGCCTATGAACTGGAGACCTCCAGCCGCGGGGGCGGGACCCTTGGAGAAGCAGAGGGGGTGGACGGTCGGTGGCTTTGGGGTGGAGCGTGCGCCCCCAAGCTCGGAACGGGTGGACGATTCGGGACCCCCTCGTTGCACATACCAGCACCAACCAAAGGGTGGTTTTTGGGATGGGAAGCACTGAACACAGAGTCAGGGGTGTTTATAAACCACCCGTTTTTAGTGGTGCTAGTGCAAAACATGCAGACACATGACACATCACATATCTCTTTGCGGATATTTTTTTGGCGCAAAGGCACGAACAGCTCCAGCTGATTCTTAAGTGGGGTCATTGCTCCACGACGCTACGCTGGTGCACCCATCCACCAGGAAAACGGATGTGCCATGGGTCCGGTCGTGGTATAGAAAGGGAGACCCCCGGACGCTTTTGCACGGTTTTTGGCCATCGCGGTCGTAGGTCGTAGGTTGGAGGGCCATCGCTACGACCGTAACGGTGGTCGCTACGAACGTCACAAAGGGCATTGTTCGGGAGACCCCCTGAGACCCCCTGACTGGGTAGACTGGTGTATTTCCCGACCCATGCCGATGCATACTACACACCCGTTTGGTGTTTGGCACAAGCCCTAGAAGTGACGCATGAACTATCCCTGTGGTAGTGGACTTGTACTCCCAGGTGGGGTATAGTGTTTGAGTCAAAAAAACGGGAAGTTCTGGACACCAAAGTATGTTTTTTTTTTTTTTTTTTTTCTGGAGATGCTCCTGCCAGCATCCCCAAGACTCTTAGTCCCTCTGAGGACGATGTGGGCCAATTTGGTCATCTGGGGGCATTCCATTGCCATTCAAAGAACTCAGTGGCAACGGGAAGTGCTCTTTTGCTGAGAATGAAAAGGAAGAGCGAAAGGAACTCGGAGAGAGGAGTAGCAGTTGATCAAAGAGGAGCAACCGAACTATCATCCACCGGGAGGGAATGGGCTGTACCCAACTACCCACTTGGATAGGGATCAAGAGGGAGTCATGCAGCAAGTCGCCCAACACTTCTGGCGTTCGGGGCTTTGACACATCAACTTGTTGATTTGCGCGGACATGGCTCAGATGATGCCAGTTGTTTGGAGAAAGATGTGACTCTCAATGTGTCCGAAGAGCAGATCAATCGCCATTCTCATTGCAAACAGGGCAACCCGAATCTGATGCGTGAACATAAGTATGGTGGGCTGCCTTCTTTCAGGACCACAGTGACCACACGTCTTGTTTTTCCGTTTCGTTTCAGTCTCGACATGAGGTTCAATCCACCTTGCCTTACATACTTGTTCTCCAACCAACCG